TGAATGTACAAACGCGCTATTGATTGTCCATTGATGCCTATGAATGTACACGCATGTTCAATTGTCGTTATTGAAAGTTGATCCGCGCTAATGATGTTACTTGTGGTGTTGATGAAAGTACATTACACGTTATTGATACAACTATTGGCACAAATGAATGTACATTTTCTGTTAATGAACAGCAAAAGGTGTAATGCAAACGACGGTAATGTCATAATTAAAATAATAGAATTGAAGCTGCATAATCTCACAATTAACCTGCTCCAAATAGTAAACAAACAACAACAAAAGACAGGAAAATGCATGTACATACTGTACAAAATGTGGAACAATTGATGGAGGGATGGACGTTTGGGCAAAAGAATGGATTGATGCCATGCATCATCATCATCATCATCATGGATTGTCATCATCATCCACATCATTAACATCCTCATCACACTCATTGTCATCTTCAACATCTTCAACATCATCATCATCAATCATCGTCATTATTATTATATTAACATCTGAACTCACCTCTTCTTCTACACCTTTTAGTCGAATTTTGACATTATCCCCAGCTCTTGCTGTGTTCTTCTCTTCCTCATCATAGACAACAGTAACAATTTCTACAGACACCTGGGCAAAAACAAACAATGTTGCAATTGAATGAATCAAAATCATAATGAAACGATTCTAAGGGACCTCTACAATGTACAGCTTAACACCCATTTAATAGAGCGTTTTCACGTGACATCACAGCGACCATTAAGGGGTACCAAAACAATACATTTTCTATCCTCCGGGAATTTATCTCTATTTTTATGCAAAAACTGTGCAGAAAGTTTCTATTGTTTATTGCTGCCTTCTCGCGTGAGTGAAAACGTTCTATACATGTAATGCTGCAATGTTATTTTTGCATGATGGCTAGGTATTAATTTTAGTTTTTGTTACAGTAAAAAGAGGTGTGTTTTTTTTTTGTGCCCACTGGTATGGGTGTATAGGTGCAATTTTCAAAGTGTCACTGAGAAAAGTTCAAACAGACATGTATTAATTATCTCCAACAGTTTTTGTCATCAGTGTTGTCCACTGTTGTCATGACACAGCATAGAAAGTACAAGTTTCTTTTTCGCTGACAATGCAAGAAACTTCACATAGACTTTTGTCAAGCGGCAGCCATGTTTATTCCCACAAGCATTAAAGCCTTTATTTTTCCCAGAAGGATTAAAGCCTTTATCTTTAGGCATTCAAACTCATCCCAAAGTGCTTGAATGGAAAAAAAGAGCTTGAACGCAAGGCTACAGTAGCTGAGCAAAAATCTATTATACCAGTCAACATGGGTGACAAGTGAGAAAGGTCTATTGCAAAGCAAGGTAGAAGGAATCCAGAAATCTAAGAAAGGGGCACCCGAAAAATTGGCATCACACCAACCTTACAAATGGCTATGCAGGACTAAACCAGACAAGGTCTAGGGGTATACTCATGACAAGATTATTATAATATGGCTTACAGACATATTATTTTCTGCATTCTGAGGATATACATGTATGAATCCCAAACTAAAAGGGGACTTGGACTCATTGAAAATCTGCCCTTGGCAGGGTGAGAAAAAGTAAAGCATATATTGACAGCTTTCTTTACCATTGAATTTAAAGAAGGAATTGCTATTGTTTGTATGTATTACCTTGTTTGGCATCAATATTAATGACTGTCCTTTATTGATTGTACCAGATTCAAGTTTTCCATATATAATAGTTCCCATATCCTGAAAATAAACATAACAAAGTAATGACAATTATGTTAAGAAATATTAAAAAATAAAATATAAATATACAAAAATTTATTCATGAGCTAGGAAAGTACAGAAATAATTTATCATTGGTCACTAGCTGGGATGATATCTTGATGATCTTTTGATGTTTTGCTGATTTTGAAGCCAGTTTGGAGTTTCTTTACACAAAACATCAAAAGATACAACAAGCTATAGAGGTAAGTCGTTTTTATTCTTAAAAGTACTAATTTTACATTCAAAGCACAATAGTGATGTTCACATTCAATAGCACAGCGCACTGATTCTAAAAATAGCTTAAAGATTCAGACAAACATTGCATTCTGTTTAACCACTACGAGGATTATACGGATCTATACGAACCGATTTTATTATTTTTACTTAAAGTTACAATAAATAACCCATGAAAACCAAGATCAACTGCGATCGGCTGTGAAAATTATCTGCTGAAAGTAAACTTGTAAGTTTGTCCAAATTTTGCCTTTGTCTTCGTTTTTATGACGTCACGGTTGCGCTGCGCTATTCAAATATTACAACACCACAGAGGAAGTGATTGGGCTGCCTGTGTGTACACTGACAATAATTATTCAGGGTTAGCCTCATTTCATTATCAAGATATTCACAAATAATGGTAGAGTAAACAATGCACAATTTTAACCATACCAACTGTTTGAAATTTCAAAGTTGCTTTAATCAATAAAATGCATTCATGAATATTTTATTGAAAACCGATGCTAATCCTGCACCACAGAGAATATGAAACTACATGTACAGTAGGTTGTTAGAGCGGGTTATAAATGTAAGTGTCCCTGATGTCAGTATACATGCAGTATTGCATGTCCAACTCACTCTGTATTTATCTGCTATGGGCAGTCTCACTGGACCATCAACTGATCTGTCTAGTGTTGGCAGCTCATCGATATATGTTAAGAATGGTTTCCCACTGGAAAATAAATAAATAAAAATGAATAGATAGATACATCGTAAGTAGCAAGAAAAACAATTAAAAACCTGTTTTTAAGGCTCTGTGAAGTAAGCACTAAAGAAGTGTAAGAAAAATCTGTGTAAGAAAAATCTAGGCAAGTGCTTACAATGCTTCCAAAGTGCTGTAAAAAAGCTGTTTTATTCCTTTTATTTCGGTATTGATTTTATTTACACAAAAAGAAAGACCATCACAGGATATAGCAGCACATCACATAATTACTTCACAATGTTATATGGATATTCAACAAATTTCCAATGGTTTAGCATTCAATGTCCTTTTATTTACCACGATACAGCATAAACAAGTCATCAGAATATTATGTAAACATATGACGTAAACCAAGATTGAAACATGCCATGCAAATAAGTATACTCGTATCTTACCTATACCATGGACAAACTTTAGGATCCACAGGTTCTTTAATATTAGCTCCTGTTAACCCTGAACATGGCATGTACATTATATCTGTAGGGAAAAAATTATCATAAACATAAACAATTACATCTTATGTTAGTTATTAACATCTCCAAATCTATTAAGCTTTAGCTGTTGTATCACAGCTTAGGACAGTCAGCTTGGATCTCTGAAAGATAGAAACTACTTTGTTGCAGACATCAAGTTGTGAATAATAATTTGTTACCCCTTTTTTATCACTCTTTTCTTTTCTAAGTACTCATCGAGACAACAGTCGCGACTGGGAAATTGGGTAATACACTTTGGTCAATCAAATGAATTGGTCGGTACCTTTACATTCTCTGATTGTCCGCCGTGTATTGCCCTATTTCCCTGTTGTGACTGTTGTGACTGTTGTGACTGTTGTCTCGATCAGTGCGTAGCAGTGAAAAGAGTGGTAATCCAAAAAAATTTTGGAAAGGAATAAGGGTAAGTACAAGTAGTGCGTATTTTATCAACCTGGATGGTTATGTCAGCATAATCATACATGGGTAGCATGTGATCAAGTTGACCCATTAGCCATAACGTTGATTGACATTGCAGTGACTTCAATCAATAAAATTAGCTTGGCTCTGTTGCTGACCAAAGATAATGCTAGGATAGTCACCAGAATGGCGTGTTAAAAAGGGTTAAGTCATGAACTGCATAATATTATATAGGTGGCCAGCAGGCAGACAACGAAGGGGAAAGACGACAATCTAAGCCCATTCACTGATACTCTAAAACTGAAGGCTCCAGCCCCATACAATGTATGAGTACAGTGATCAGGGGAATCTCAAAAATATTTTACATTCTACTTTTCTATTTTATTTACATTCTATTTTACATTTGTGAAACTTTCTTAATGCAATAAAATGTCCTGAATGGACCTTTTTCAAGTTCCAAATTACCATTGTGTCTAATTACAAACTCATTTACTCAGTGTGGAAACTTTCACAAATGCCAACAGTAAAGTAAAGAAAACACAGCTTCAATAATACAAACACTTTGAAATTCCATGGACCTTCACTGGAACACATGAATATTGTACACAAAATCAAGGCTAACCCTGAGCAATGTTCAGAGGATTTGAAACTGGGGTATTGGGAGTTTTCAACATTTAATGACAGAAGCAAAGGTAATATAATGAGGATGAAGAAACAATTTCAATAGTATTCACCTGTTTTAGGATTAAATCCTACTTTCTTGAGGAAAGGTGTCAGTTTGACCTGGATATCCTCATACCTAAAGTAAAACATTATACATATCTATAAGCGTACTGTAAAATATGATAAGGATTATGCAATAGACAGTTTTCTCAAGTTTGCATACACATCCCGATTTAAGGAACTTGACAGGCCATGATACCAGAATAGAGTATTATCATGCATTGCTACGAAAAAATTTTCGATAAGAATTCATAAAATTTATTACTCTCCTCTTTAAATATAAAACTGTCTTCTCAATTATACTGAATTTGCATTTTTCAGTTTTGTGGCCCGTCAATTTGGTCAAAACAGTCTATTGTCAGAAAGAAGAAGCAACAACAACAACAACAACAACAAGAATAATAATACAGTATGTATGACTTGTACAGTTATATTTCACCTTGTAGCATCCCATTCTACTGTAGGGTCATCCATTTTGTTTACCAACACAACCAAGTGTTTGACTCCTGCTGTCTTGGCTAACATAGCATGCTCTCTAGTGAATGAAATTTGTTACAGTGTTAGTTATACATTAGTCAAAGAAATACCAAATTCTTTCAAAGGGTGGGGTCAGGAATGGAGTGAAAAAGGTATATACTTATTTCAATAAAGTTAGTCACCAAAAACCTAGAAAGCTGTGATTGCTGAGAATCATGGGAAATATTTTATATCCAACAATTAAAGTTTTTGACACAAACTGCAGCAGTTGAGGATGCTCAGAGGAAGTGAGACTGTAACTGGTAGAAGATCTCAAGTCCATCAACAGTCATCAATCGGTTGAAACATGTAAAATGTATCTACCCATAATCCTTGTCGGTCTCAGCTTTGTAGTTTTTCTGGTGACTAACTTTATTGAAATAAGTGTATATTGATTTGAAGCACTTTCTTTACCATCAATATCAACCTCTACATAGTGAGAGTATGAATAATTTCTAGACCTGAATATTTCCCTCGGTTGATGTATGCCCATAAGATGTCTAACTCACTTTTTTTATCTCACCATTCATTTTTTATCAATATTACCAATTTCTTAAGTTACAAGTAAATAAATAAATAAACTTTATCTAGAGAGGGTGACATGTCTTGGAAAGAGATGGGACCGCCATTTTATGTCGTCATCTGCAACACTAAGCCATCCTACATGTAAGTACGGTTCATATGGTGCATAGAAGTCTCTTTAAATATCCTATTAGCCTTATAAAAATGGCTTCCCTTTACTTTAAGAATCCGGATTCCCAAGAACCTTCTGACCATGGATAGCTGTACATGTATGTAGAGAGGCAGTCCATTGAATACAGAGCCTGAAGTGAGTATTGTGTGTAATGTCTAGACTCCTATAAGGTGTATCCAAGGGACTCACATTGCTCCAAAACTGTACATCAATAACCTTCACTATATTTGCACTGCATGAACTGCAACTTTGACACTTGAATACAACAAAAAAGTACAAATCTTGTTACCTTGTTTGACCACCTCTTTCAAAGCCTGTTTCAAATTCTCCTTTACGAGCAGAAATAACCTGGGATTGAAAACAGAATATTTGTTGCTTTACTACTGTACTTTGAATTTTAAATCTGAAACCAATACAAAACTGTAAGCAAATTGTTTTTGCACTGCATTATAAGAGACATCAAAAACTCTGCAACAATAACCAGCAATCACTGTCATGTTGCCATAGGCAAACTTTGATTCTAGATCAACAAACCTTTTAAAAAGAGCGCACATGTCAAATGATTTGAAAATGATAATAAAAAACAGTAGTAAACCTAGTTGGAGCAGTTAATGCAACAAATCAATTGAAAGAATTAAAGAATTATACACTGCAAAAAGAGTACATAATTTATTGACTTTTTTGGAAAGGAAAGGCCGAGGAATTATTACTTTTTCACACAGTTTTTAAATGTTCTAATATTAACTTAATTGTAAAGCTATTTTGGGCGCAATCAAATACACCAAGGTACATGACATGTACCAAGTTTATGAATGCCATCTGCAGGTGACATAATGGGATATTTTGCCACAAAATTGCCAAGAACTGATTGGAAAACAGAGAGGGGGGAGTATTCATGGACATATTCAGAGATAGAAAATGTGGTGCATTGTGGTGTACCTTGGATACAAACATCTTTTGTTCATTATGGCTCGTACATGGTGTTTGAACCCAAGCTAGACCAGAATGCATCAGGTTTATCAAACTCAGAAAAGGCTTAAATGTATTCTTACCAAGACACCCAAATCAGCTTGCGCTGCTCCACTTATCATGTTGGGTACAAAGCTTTTATGACCAGGTGCATCAAGTAATGTGAAATGTTTATTCGCTGTATCAAAGGCTGCCCGGCCCACTTCTACTGTTTTGCCCTAAATGAAACAAGATCAAGAAACAAATTATAAGCATCCATTTTTGGAAATCAAGAGCAGTATACATAGGGTTATTGCACTCACCCCTCACCTCTAGGGTCTTGGGTTTGATTCCCAGACTCGGCATCACATGTGAGTAGAGTTTGTTAGGCCTCTCCCTTCATTCTAGGGATTTTCTCCAGGTTCTTTGGTTTTCCTCCCTCTGCAAGACCTTACACTTTCTAAATTCTAATTTGATCTGTGAGTTAGCAGTGTTTTGACTGGCTGTCTTTTGTTCTAAACAGGTTTTCACAGATGACACTGCATAAAAGGTATTGTGCATTGTTTTGGTACTGGATTTGAAAAACCTGTTAAACTGGTTTTTGTGTAAATGTATCATAATGGCCCATGCTAATTTTTAGGTGTGGGAACAGCTATCTCATATTGGTTAATAACTTGAACTAATTGATTTCTTCCAGTGATGTGGTGCGACAGTACATGGAAGCAGTGCTCATTTTGAACATGAAAAAATTATACTCACTTTATCTCTTTCTTCTTGATTCGTGTCAAGGGCCCATGAAAGGTACCTAGCAAAGGATTTTTAAAAGATTAAAATGTGCTTGAAAGTCGTATTTATCAGTACATGCATGCATCTTGGCATATCTCGGTCTTGACATATACTGTAAGGCAAGGCATACATCAGACCAATCACACTGAGCAAGAATGTACTCTCTATTCACTGAAATAACCCGCAACTGGCAGACCAATCACATTGGGCAAGAAAAAAATTAACCAATCAAAATCCTAGAACAAAATTCTAGRAAAAAAAACCATTATCAACTTGAAGTGTTTACAGTTCTAGGGCCCTTATAGTAACATAATATTTACCATGTTTCTCTGTTTTTTTCCTTGGCTTCTCGTTCATATTTTTCTAATGTCCTTTTGTCTACTTGTCCTGTCAAATACCTGGAACAAATTGCAGTACACAAACTGGTGAATTTCTCTTTATCATACTTTCAAGATGAAAAAGTACAGTACACAGAGTATGAGACACTTAAACCATTCCAAAATTCAAAATTCTGTATTGTTGCACTTACATAACATGGCCTCCAATTGTTGACTTGCCTGCGTCTGTAATAAATAAAAGAAACATGGGTAAATATATTGAAAAATTCTAAAACTGTCACACACTTCAGAAGTCCAACCCAAACCAAACAATTTCATCCAACCCCAAAACATTAATTTCTTGCCTAATCTAAAGGGCAGGGCAGTTTGTAAATAACTTTATGAGTTCAATAATTAAATACAGTCAAAGACATGATGTGTTATTAGTTGATTATTGGATTTTTGATCATTTCAACAGATGCTGCTTGGTATGGACCTAGTCCACCTGGGGCGTAATATTTTGCCCATTTCAAACCATGTGTCATTCTCTCGAGAATAAGATTTGTTTGGGTTGTATCCATTTTCTTGGGTCTTCTTATGTGCAACTGTTAAACAAAGAAATGATACTCTAGAGAATGACATATGCTCTGAAATGGAAAATCAGTGGATATTTGGTCTATTGTTGCTCGTATCCACATTTGTTTTTACTACATACCAACATGACCAATGAAGATAATATTCACATGTTCCCTTGCATTAGGTTCTTCCTCTTCTGGTATTTCTTTTTTCTTGGGTTTTGTAGTTTCAGGTTTAGTGCTGGGTTTGTCTTCTATTTCTTTCTCTAAATTACAATTGTTAAAAAATGATTCAAACAAAAATAATGAGTGCTTACTTAGTATCACAAGCTGAAAAAATAACCAAGCTCCATTCAGTAAAAAACCAATTTAAATAGCAAGTTTTGTTTTAAATTTCTAAAGTAAATGTGATATAATCTATTATCACATACAGCGCAAAATTACTTGATGCTGATTGGCCAATGAAGGAGGGATTTTTTCCATAATTTGGGGGGCCGAATAGCTAGACAATGATTGGTAGTTCAGTTGCCTAGCAACGCTCATAAACTGCAAACTTTTCTTTTCCAAAATGGCTTCCCGTTTTGCATAATGCCAATTTGGCAGACGAAGGCACCATGAGAAAACAAAAGGATTTGGCTAACAAATATTGATATTGATAATGATATACATGTACTTCATAAGTTTTCAAATACAGTAGTAACATGGCTCAAATGACCATGCATAATGGTGGTCCTTCATTTAGAGAAAAATAAGAAAAAATAAAAAAATAGAAAAATAAGGCTGATGTATTTATTTTTATTTGGTCACATCTTTGAGATGACTCACACTGTTAATGCAATACATTATTGAAATCAATACATGGATACTAAGAATTTTATCTGCGAGGAGCAATAATTATAAAAGAGCTTTTTGTCCTTGGAAATGGATCTCAAATACAGTATTTGCCAATGAGTATAAGATGTAGCCATGGATCAACAAATCTTACCTTCATCTTTTTCCACTTTCTCTTGTTTTGATTTATCCTCAACATCCTCATTATCCTCAACATTGTTGGTTGCTTCCTCTACAAATGGAAAAAATATATGATCATAATTGATCATCTTTGACCTGACCCATGATATTCAGGCATTTTGATGTGTGACATATTTTAGCATTGATAACCAAATCCTCTTTAGTGGACACCCCACTATTATTGTAAACACTTATTTTCATTCTGGTGAACATTAAAATTTATTGATATACTGGGCTTAAAATAACAGCTGCTTGGACGCTGGACATGGTAATAAGCCAAAAAAAACGTTTGGCAAGACATGCTGCCTTCCAGACCAAACAAAAAACAAACTTAATAAAAAAAGGAAAGATTTATTGGTTTCAAACATAGATTTTATTAATTCTGCTTTTGTTTCATTTTTTCTTAGTCATACACAATACTGTAAATAATAATTTTAGTTAACAATATGTTTGTGGTTAATCTCATACTAGGAACATAGAAATTTTTTTTTTCAACTGCACTATTAGAATATTAACATCACACCACAGCCATTTATTGGAAAATATACAAACTATGAGTGCAAGCATTTAAATAGCACACACTAGCAAATATAATTTCCTTTGTTTATGTTTCAAACTGTTACCATGATTTGACGTCAGGACAAAAAAATTGTTTTCAAATATTTTCATGCAAGAAGTACAGTAGGAAAAATCAAAAAACCTGGATGGTGAGGTGAGTCATTTATATCAGAAATCTCTTTCAGTGTCTGGAATGACTAATTTTTTACATAGGAATTTTGACGTTGAGGGCCTGCCCACTGAAATTTTACTTCTCGCTCCCCTTGATCTCAAAATTAAATTATCTGGTACATTTCAAATTTTTGGTTGTCTGCAGAGAAAAACCAAATTCCAGCGGGTAACTCACAAGTACTGAGTTCATTTAATTTTTAAAATGGCAACAAACAGCGCCGCAAACAAATCAAATGCAATCCGCCACTGTGTATTCAGAAGTCAGAAGTACTGTACTGTATCCTTACCACGACCACCTTATTAATCAAGGGACTAAAATAGCATGGTGTGTATAATTCTAAAAGCCTTTCAGAGTAGACTTAAATAAACAATTCTGTTTAATGTATGACCACAGCATGAACTGTCAAGATGACYTGACTGTTTGCCGTTTGGCTGGACAACTGGCATTTTCGTCTGATATCCAGCAGTTATTTTAAGCCCTGCATACTGTACACTAAAATAGCCTCTGGACTGATCAAAGTCAGTGCACTGCTAACTTGATCTAATGGGATAGGATGAGATGGCCTATAAGTGAAATTGTTATACCAAGTGTCAAAGTCCACTTTTATTCTCTTCTCAATGACTAAGAGTATGCCACATGATATGTGACGTTCATAAAATGTCACAGTTTCCCGGAAACYGTTCTGAGCAGGAAACTTTATATTTATACTTCCAAAGAATAACAATTCTGGTAGCAAAACTTCTTCTTCTTAGGACCACAAAAACACATTGTTTCCTTAGGTCCCAGTCAATGAGTGTTAATTTTTTTTTCCCATTCACTCTGTTTACACCTCCCCCCCACCCCCCCCCCCCCCCCCCCCAAAAAAACGAGAGAAAGAGAAGCTACACGTAAACAATTACACACGATCTTAATCATTCAAATTGGAATTTACTACAATTTCCTTCTTAACTCTCAAAACAAGGAAAAATCTGTCAAAAAGCTTACCAATGGGAACTTGAGAACTTTGTTCGTTCTTCTTATCTTCAGTTGGCTCTGCAGCATTAATACTCGAAGGCTTCTCTTGTTCTTAAGAAAAAGAAAACAAAGATAGTAAAACTGAGTTTTCAAAAAGAATATTTTGAGCAAAATAAGGATTACACTCTTCCAAAAACATAATTTAAGGTTCAAGTAAAAAAATGAAATTATGGGGAATAACAAGATAATTACTCACGATTGAAAAATCAAAGTAGACAGATGAGACAGAAATAATATAACAAAGTAATTAATTCTTTCGTTTACCTTGTGGCTGTTGAGATTTCAAAAACGAAGGAACGAAGACTGGAGCATTAACGTTTGGTACAAAAGGGGTAGCATTAATATTGAGTCCTTTAAGTTGTGTYGAAGGATCTTCTCCTGGCCCGGGATCTTCGATCGAATCCCATGAATCAGGAGCTGATGAGTCCTGTGTCGACGACGCCATGGCTTAATGATATTTACTAAAAAGATCAAGGCCAAAAAAAGAGGTTTTTAAGAATTTCTGTCCAGTTGATCGTGTTTCTTTTTGAGCCACGAGATCGATGGTGCAATTTTCGCACGCCGGTAAAACCAATGAGCATGCGTACTACAAAACCGCTGACCACCGATTCGTGGACTCGTTGTTAAAACTGACCGCATCGCGTCTAAAACGTGTGTCATATTACAGTGCATTCAGTCACACTGTTGAATAGTTCGATAAATTTCGTCATCTCAATTAGTAAAGTAAGCGCCAAACCAACGGTCATGCAAATCCTGGGGTTTACTTTACCAGAGATTAGCAGCAGTAAGGGGGATTCGCGACTGCTGTTCAGAATACGCCGGGGATTATCTGCCCCCACGTAACGGCGGCCCCCTTGGGAATTATCTGAGCCAACTCTACGGACTTTTAGGCAAATATCCGATTTGTCCACCTTACCC